CGTCCGCAGGCTGAGGCGGGAGGAGGTGGTGCCGCCATGGGGAACCAGCTGGCCGGCATCGCCCCCTCGCAGATCCTCTCGGTGGACAGCTACTTCTCGGACATCCACGACTTCGAATACGACAAGAGCCTGGGGAGCACCCGCTTCTTCAAGGTCGCCCGAGCCAAGCACCGGGAGGGGCTGGTGGTGGTGAAGGTGTTCGCCATTCAGGATCCCACCTTGCCCCTGACGAGCTACAAGCAGGAGCTGGAGGAGCTGAAGATCAGGTTACACTCGGCGCAGAACTGCCTTCCCTTCCAGAAGGCGACCCTGTCCGAGAAGGCCGCCATGCTCTTCAGGCAGTATGTACGGGACAACCTTTATGATCGAATCAGTACCAGGCCGTTCCTGAACAACATTGAAAAGAGGTGGATCGCGTTCCAGATCCTGACTGCGGTGGACCAAGCGCACAAGTCTGGAGTCCGCCACGGGGACATCAAAACGGAGAACATCATGGTGACCAGCTGGAACTGGGTTCTTCTAACTGACTTTGCCAGTTTTAAGCCAACTTACCTTCCTGAAGACAATCCTGCTGACTTCAATTATTTCTTTGACACATCGCGGAGGAGAACATGCTACATTGCTCCCGAGCGCTTTGTTGATGGCAGTATGTTTGCTACGGAGTTGGAAAACATGCGGGACCCTTCCACTCCTTTGGTAGACCTGGCAAACAGCAATCAGCGAACGAGAGGGGAGTTAAAACGTGCCATGGATATCTTTTCTGCAGGTACTTGGAGCTGTCAGGATACAGCAGTGTGTTGTTTATGATTGTGTTTATGATTGGGGTGCAGAAAAGCTTATTTGGGTTTGAGTTTTTTTGGTGGGTTTTTTTTTTTTTTTACACTGGGCTTAGAGAACAGCATGTGGAAAAACTTGCTTATTTTAAGCATAAAACCCAACCCTAAACCTTTTATTCACAGGAAGGGTACAGACAGACACAATACAGTAAGCTACATTAATGCATCACCTTGTTATCTGAGGAGGGAAGTCACAAACTGTTCTGTTGTGGCTCAGCTGTACCCTGGGAAAGAGATGGTTCTGCAAGCCACAGACCATCACCTTCTCGTGGCTGAGGTTCCGGGGATGCATAGCATATGCCTCATGGGAACCAGGAGGAGGAACCCGTCAGCGGTTCCCCTGAGGTCCAGCTGCCTGGGGACGAAGCCAGCTTTCAGGGCAATGTGGCAGTATTGGCTTTGGAAGCCCCTTCTTGTTTCGTTTTCCCCACAGGCAGGAAGTCAGATAACTAAATAAGCTCCTGTCATAGTCACATTTGCAAATATTTGATAGTCTGATGCTGGCAGCCTGCCTTTAGTTGTGGGCTTTGTCTTGAGCAGTTTGAAAGCCGTAAGTCTGGCCTCCCCCCCACCCCACTTAAAGTGACTGAAAGTCTGAATTTAAAGATGATGGTTACTTCATTTTGCAAGCTGCTCTTACAGCCAAACTTCCAGGCACTCCACTGATAAAGCAAGATGCTGACTGTTAGGAGCACCAGGAGTGGGACCTTTGGAGAGCACAGGTGTCATGTACACAACAGGGAGGGCTGTGTTTGGCAGTCATATTATTTCTCACTGTGCTTATGAGCTTGTGCGAGTGAATATGTGCTGTGTCCCAGCATAACTGGAATTAGAGGTTATTTCTTTACCTTCTGGAAAAGGGCTGCTTAGTTTTGACCTACTGCTCGATCCATGCTGGCTTCTTCCACGTGACAATGATGTACGTTCCTTTTCTGGTGATGTATTTTCCAGCTGGCAAGTGGCTGAAGCCACCGCTTTATGTTTCTTGGTTGCAAACTCCTCAGCTGTTGGCATGTTTGAAATAAAATAATTGGGAGATATGTCATGTATGAAGTGTAATGGCCAGTTTTTTTGAGTGTTAAAGTGTCTGTTTATAATCCTCTGACATCTTTGACTCTGTTGTTGTTTTTTTTTTTTGATTCTCCAGGGTGTGTAATAGCAGAGCTCTTCACAGAAGGTGTACCCTTGTTTGATTTGTCTCAGCTTTTGGCTTATAGAAATGGCCTCTTCTCCCCTGATCAAGTCCTAAACAAAATTGAAGACAGCAGTATCAGAGAGCTGGTAAGGATGGACTACAGCATTAGAACCATTTGTGTGGTCTGTTTGTGGTTTATTTCACCTACTTCGGTGACAAATGCTTATTGTTTGGGTGTTTTGGTTTGGTTTTTTTTTATTACAAATGTCTAAACCTCTAATCTTTCTCTCCCGCTCCCTCCTACTTCTGCCTTTCTCAAGGTCACTCAGATGGTCCATCGCGAGCCAGATAAACGTTTAGCAGCTGAAGATTATTTGAAACAGCAACGTAACAATGCATTTCCTGAAATATTTTACACTTTCCTTCAGCCTTACATGGCCCAGTTTGCCAAGGAAACGTTTGTATCGGCAGATGAGCGTATATTGGTCATACGTAAAGATCTGGACAACATCATTCACAATCTCTGTGGGCATGATCGCACAGAGAAAGCCGAGGGAGAGACAAAAGAGAATGGGCTGGTTATTCTAGTGTCTGTGATAACTTCCTGTTTACAGACTCTCAAATACTGTGATTCAAAACTGGCTGCTTTGGAACTGATTCTTCATTTAGCACCGAGATTAAGTGTAGAGATTCTTCTGGATCGTATTACTCCTTATCTGTTACATTTCAGCAACGACTCTGTGCCCAGGGTGAGGGCAGAATCTGTGAGGACACTAACTAAAGTTCTTGCTCTCGTCAAAGAGGTGCCACGCAATGATATTAACATTTACCCAGAATACATTCTTCCAGGCATTGCACACTTGGCCCAGGATGAAGCCACCATCGTCAGACTTGCATATGCTGGTAAGAAGAAATCCAGTCAAAACTCCAAATCTTGGGGTTTCTCTGTATTTCCTTAACTGTTTTCTCCTCTGCTCAAAATCATTGCGTAGCTTGCTGTTTCTGTTTCAGTAAGTCTTCCCAGAAGTCTCAGAAATGACTGCAGGTAAAGACACCTCTGTTCACTTAATCAAACTGGTGCGGGTGGTGGCAGCAACTTATTAATGAGTTGATTTATACTAAAAGATGAGTTTCCAGTGTAGATCTGTACCCAGAGTAAATAATTACATTTTGAATAGTTGACAACATGTGTTTGCTCTCTGCTAGGTGAATTAACTTTTTTAAAAATTAACGTTTGTTCTTCTCTATAATTCTGCATGTAAAAGCAACTTGCAAGATGTGTACGTGTGCTTTGGGCTAGGGCCTGGATGTAGCATGCAGCAGGTCAGCCCACAGCTAAGATAAGGGCTCAGAGTTTAGAGCTTCACGCTCAAGGAAGCAGCCCTGGCTTTATTCCCTGGATAAGCAGGAGCATAACGCAGAAAAATACTTGTCCAAGTGGTCTTTGTGAAGCCAAATATGTGAGCAGGGCTTTCTGAGCTTGCCCATCCTTTGCTGCTTTTATTAATTTATCTTAATTGACATTTCATTAGCTCAGATTGTTTGCTTGAAGTAGTCTGACTGAACTGAATAAATATGAAACTAAAAGCATCAGTGTGTTGCTATGCTTCAGTTATTTCCCCACAAAATTAAATTTGATATTCAGGGGCTGAAATTACATTAGTTGCTATGTAATAGACTGGCTTATACCATAGCAAAAGTTTTCTTTGTATGTTATTCAGATATACGAGTTCTGCCTGTTCAGGAAGAAGCTTTGTAGTCATGTCCATATTTCCTATTTACCATGTACCCTTATTTGCTATGACTAGCATATGTTTAAGAGTGTTGTTTTGGGTTTTGGTTTGGTTTTTAATAGTTATAAATGCAGAATTCAGTTGAAAATGTCACAGGTGATGTTTTTCTTTAAGAAGTAAGCTCATAAAACTAATGATTGTAGACAATGTGTAGTTAATGAATAGAACAAATTGCTTTTTGTCACCTTGATCTTCCACATTTAGGGCTTTGTGAAAGAACCATTTTTTCATGCCTTGCTTTTATTTGTAGATTAAGAAAAAATACCCAAATCTTGTAAAATTACAGTCTGTTTGTAATTAGTTTTTAAATGAACTAGTATGAAGCTGAACTTGTTAAATAAGCTGAAATGGAAGAAACAAAATGCATTCTCCTTTTCTGCAAGTGCAAAAAGGCCTCAATACCCATAGAATCCAGTTGCATCTGCTTCCACAGAGGTTCTCGCTGGGTTCAGTGATTTGACTTTATTTTCAAACTGAGTATAGCTAGAATATTTTCTGAAATTTTAAAAGGTTACTTGAAATGTAGATGGTTAAGTCTGATTAAGTTGCCTTAATTTTAAATAGCTTTTCTTTTATGAAAGCAGTTTAAATTTTCAAATTATTTAAAGGTAATCTAATACCTGAGTTAACTTGCGTTACTGTAGCATGCGTTTTGGAAGTGGTCAGCTTGGTGACTTACAGGATTTGATCTGGGCTGTGGACAGGCTTCGCTGGCATGCTGCTGTTGTCTTGGACAACACTTGGAACAGCTGCTTAAGTAGGACTTGTGCCTTGATGGGATTATTCCTGTGCCAGCGTTGGCCTGACCCATATAATACAGTTTGAGTTGCTTTGGCAGCTTCCAAACAGTGCAGAACGATGTCAAATCATGTGGATAGATATGGGGACAAATGTTCTAAAAGTGGAATCCAGCCCTCAAGCGTAACCCTGTTGTTACTGCCTAGGATACATATCCTGGTGTGGTGGTTTGTTGTTGTTTTGTTGCAGTCTACCATGTGGGCATGTTAGTTAATTCAGGTTAATTGGCCTTTAGGTTCTATCAAGTTATTTAGTCATTAGCCTGAGATTAGGTGGATGTAGGGCTAGTTATAGAAGACTGAAATTAGTCCTTGTTACAGTTGATATCCTTATGGTTTTCCACTGTTTACATGACAAGAAGTACCATGTGATTTGATGTACTTGATAGCTTCACTGGGGTCAGGGTCAACACAGTTGGGCTGGCCAGAGCATGTTGTGTAATTTCCATCCCATTTGTCCATCATGACTGGTATTGTCAGTGGTTATAATCTCTCAACAGAGGGATGATGTAAATTGGCAAAGTAGGACACCTCTTAACCAAAGTGTTTTCCTTTGCAGAAAACATAGCGTTGTTGGCAGAAACGGCTCTGAGATTTTTGGAATTAGTACAGCTGAAAAATCTGAATATGGAAAATGAACCAAATGGTGAAGAAATGGATGAGACATCTCACCCTAGTGATAACTATGACACAGGTAATGTCACTTCTACTTACCTAGCCTGCTGATAATAGCAAATTGTGGGCCGAAGCTCCTAGTTAGCACTGATCTTCCTCATCTCTCAAAGCTTAGCCTTCCTCTTCAATAGGAAGAATGCTTTTCCTCGACCAGTAGCACAGCATGTGCAGAAACAGACACCTCTGTTCTGAACATCGTGAAAGACAAAGAAGTATATAAATGAGCACGATTTCCTTCTCCCAGAGTTCTCAAGGTATTTGAGTGTGCTGTTGGCTGCCTCGTTGCATATTCAGCTTCACTCACAGTCCCGTAAAGAAGTCAGCTGGGACAACATGGCTGCGTTCCAAATACCACTTCCATGGAAGTGGCAGGCAGCGTCAGCTTTTAAAAACCTGTCAAATTCTAGCATAGTCATAGTACTGTATTTTTCAGTCATTCTTCCTTTTCTGTTTTGGCAATTCCTGGCAATTCTTGTCTATCTTTTTGATGGAAGATGCTGAATGTATGGATGCCATGGGGCAGCAACACTGCTATCTGTGCTGTTGTGACTGTAGCACAGAGAAGGAATCAAAATCCTAAGGATGGCTTTTCGTTTTCTTTCCCTTGGGAAGGAGGGATGGCGATAAATGACCTGTGTGTCAGCTCCAGTGCCTCTTAGTGATGCATAGATTTCCGGAACAATGCTGGGCAAGTCTTCTAAGCTGGGAAGAATTTGTAGTTGAAAACTGTAATTTCTCGTTTGGGCTAAGTAGATCAATCTGTGACTAACTGTAATTGGTAAACATCCCACACATACTCCATTTGGTAGGGAAAAGGGTATCTTTCAGTTATCTCTTAACTAATTGCAGGTTGGTACTTTAAAAAAAAAAAAAACAAACCACCCTACCAAAACCAAACATAAAAAATCTCCTTCAGGTTCCTGCATGCAAGGCATGGGATGCTCAGAGTTGCTGAGGAGTGAGAGAAAGGAAGCCCAGTCGCAAGGGCTGTATTTCTGAGAAATACTGTCCCCTGTCGCTCAGAATGGCTTGGAGATGAAAGAAGCAATGCAAGGGAGAAGTTTGAATAGTGCTATTCTTTTTACCCTTTTAAAAACCAAGCATGAGAAATTTGAACCCAGAAGGCAACTTTGTCACATGACTGACAAACAGAGTCACAATAGAAAGCAAATTAGCTGGTCTTCTGACTGCAGGCAAATGGTAATCATCCCCTCCAAAGCTGGGAAGGCAGTAGCTGAAATTTTTATGCTGTTTGTTTGAGAACCTCCCTTGTACAGCTTTCAATAATAGCCAGTGCATTAGCAAATCAATATTTCTATTAAATGGAAATAATGTTTTTTTTAGTTGCATCAGGGAGTAGAAGTCATAGGCAAGTTCATCTTCAAATTTTTCATCTGTAGAGTTAGGGTAACCGCTGATATTTAATGAAATTGGAAGTACTCACTTTTTCAAGTGTTGTTTATTCCTCTCTGTATCCTTAATGAAGCCAATCTATCTACCTAACTAAAAATACACTCTTGGAAGTGTTGTCCCTTCACAAATTTTGAAACTGATAGTCAAATTAACATATCAAACCAGAATTTCCTTGAAGCATTTTGTTTACTTTTGCAACATTGCTGCTGAGTCATTCTGATGTTTCTTCACATCTTCATTTCACCTATATATACATATATATATATATATAAAATGAGCTGGGTCATCTTGGTTGAAGTTATCACAAGTTTAGAATATATTACGATCTGGTAAGACTGTCTCACCTTTCTATACTCTTTGGCTTTGCCACCACCTCGTGCTTAGCCTGAAGGCTTTGGTAAGTCAGTTGCTGGAATTGTTGAGGTTCTGTTGCACTGTCCATCTTACCAAGTTGGGTGTTCTTCAGGATGACTTGTCAGTGTAGCTCCTTTAGCAGCAGGTAGTACCCATGCACATAGTTTTTCTCCCCAAGCCAAATGTTCATTCTGTTGTCTCTTGCAGAGTTGCAAGCCTTGCATGAAATGGTCCAGCAGAAAGTTGTGACTTTGCTAAGTGACCCGGAGAATATTGTGAAACAAACACTGATGGAAAATGGGATAACACGTCTCTGTGTCTTTTTTGGACGTCAAAAAGCCAATGATGTTCTTCTGTCTCATATGATCACTTTCTTAAATGATAAGAATGACTGGCATCTTCGAGGAGCTTTCTTTGACAGCATTGTTGGTAAGTGTTTGGTTTCAGCCAGCCAGATAGATAATAATGTACATAAATTTATCTTTTGCATATCTTGTTAACAGTCATATAAAAGTCCTTTCTTATAAAGATTTCTGTAATTTATAGGAAAAGACTTCACTGAATTATTGGGTGTAAATGTTTCTTTAGGGAAGGAAGATGAAACAGTGTAAATCCAAATATCTTTTAGTCCAAATATTTAATACAAATGAGACTGAGGCATTTAAGACTAGGTTAGATTAGCATAAAAAATAAACTTTAAATGATACTTAATTTTTTTGAGTCTTTGCTAAAGCCACTAACTGAAAAAGCCTAAATTGTGACAAACAAATGCCAAGATTTCTGCAAGCTGTCTAGTAGATGCATCACTTCACGAGTGTATGTGTCCCATTAACTTCAGCAGACCTGTTCATACAATGAAAACTATGCATCTGTATAGGCTAAAATTATAATTTGAATTTTTTTTTTTTAGTGCCTTAAAACCATACTTAAAGATTCTTGTCAGCTCAGAAAACTTAATGATTAGTGCCATCATGGCTTTCTGTACCAGCTGTTTATTGTATCTGATGTTCCATGTACGGTGGCAGTCATTCCACATGACTATTGCTGAGAGGCAGTGCCCAGGCTTTGCGATTCAGTAAAACTTTCCCATAGCAGACTGCGGTACCTTGGGGAAAAAAATGGTACTTCAGGTGTGTGGCATGCAAAAGGAGCATAGTCAAACTTCCAGCAGGGCCATTATGGTAGGCACACGTTCTGCTATGACTGGAAGCCATAAAATGCTGTGCTGGCAAACCCTGCCAAGATGTGATGCTGATAACTTGTCAGAATTCGTTTAGAAGGAGCAGTGGGGTAGCCAACAGATCACAGTGTCCTGGCTTGTTGCAAAAGGCATGGAGAGAGATGTATTTTTAACTCCTCCTCTCCCAGTATCTGTTCAAAACCTTCGCAGAAGAATTTGGATAAACTTCAACATTTATGTTTTGTTTTACACTGTTATACTTAAAGCTTTTCCACATCTTTAAAACAGAGCTCTCTAACTCATGGTTAAGTGTGTGCAGACGCTGCAGCCTGTGGCTGTGGGCAGATGCCCTTCCCTAACAGGGGCACTGAGGGGATTTCTCATACCTGTGCCTCTTCTCTCTTCTTCCTCTCTTCCTTTCTGCAACTGGTGGCAAAGCCCACCATTGATACATGAGCAAGTGTATGGGTTACCTTACTAGAGTAAAAGTGATAAGCTTATTTTATGTTTAATCTTGATTCTGATGGTGATGAACATGTTGAATTGTCTGGGATTTATTAATCCCAGATAACTGGGTTAGAAGTAGAGGCAGTTATGGTCTGTGTGGTGTACCGTGTATGATAATAACAACGATAACCCTGAGCTATTCAATTAGAAACTAATTTTTTTTCTCTTGAGAACAGAGGACTTTGTTTGTGGGAAGGAATGTTAGCTTCATGGATGTAAAACTAGAGGAAAGATCAGAAATCCAACAAGGTCCATCCCCTTGACCGTTGCCAGAGATCAATTATTGTAGATGGGCTATCTAATCCAAACAAGCAATTCCAGATGACAGTTTCACGTGGCCAGTGTCTGGTTTTCACATGGGAAAGGAAGAAGAATAGGAAAACAGTTTCTTTTACTGCGATGCAGTTGATGTATTTTTGTCTAGCAGCTTCAAAGGAATTACTTTCACTTTGCTTTTGATCTTGGCATCTTTCTAAGATTTTGAAATATATTTTAAAATTGGATTTATTTTTGAAACTAGAGTCAAGGTGGCTTCATGATGGCAAATAATTTGAGACTAGTTAACTAAGCAGCAAATCTTGGAGGCACTTCAGGCAGAGTTTTAGAAGATTGTTCTAAATGTTCCTTTTTGACTATTAGTGATTCTTTCTTTTGTGGCTAAGCGAATGTATGTTATAGACTTTCCATGCTGATAACTAGTCTGGTATCCAGTTCAGTCTTTTCAGGAGTTTGAATGATACTCAAATTACAGTCACTGCAAAGTTCAAAGACAAAATCCTGCTAACAGAACCTTTCACTGTTGCTCACTTGTCCTTTCCATGCACACATGCAGTCACCGCATCCCCACCCCTTAGGAGCACTGCTGTCTTTGCCTCGCCATTTCAGACTTCTGCTGGCCAGTTGTGTGCTGCCATCTGTGCCTGGCTTCTGCAAGGACCTCTGCAGGCAAGGGGATCTGCTTCTATCAAACAGTTTTCAGAATATTGTTCTAACTTTGGAAAGCAACTTCTTTTTTTTCTAATGATTATCTGTTCTCAGATGGCTCCGTGGGATAGCAATTTTAAACTTTGGTGAGGAAAGGCAAGGAAGTGCTACGCTGGATTTTTTATGTGTTCTTTTCATGTTTCAGGTGTTGCTGCTTACGTTGGCTGGCAAAGCTCATCAATACTGAAACCTCTGCTTCAGCAAGGTCTCAGTGATGCAGAAGAATTTGTCATTTACAAAGCCCTCAATGCTCTTACTTGTATGTGCCAATTGGGGCTCTTGCAAAAGCCTCATATTTATGAGTTTGCTTGTGATATTGGTAAGTTGGAATACTGGAGAATACCCTGTTTTGCTAGTTAAGAAAAGAAATCTTGGTACTACAACAAGCTTCACTGTCAGCTTAGCTGTCCAATATGCAAATCTATAGTACTGTTTTAGAATCTGCACAGGACTGTGTTAATGAGGTTTTGCTAGTCAGACCATGTTAGTGCTCAGAACTCTAGAATAATAGTTTTGGTGGAACAAATTGGAAGCATCTTCACTGATCTTTGTATAGGATAGCAGCAAACAACACTTAGTCCCACAAAATTTCTGCTTTAAGATCTTTTCTTGTTCTTCGTGTCAACCTCCTATAAAGAATAACTCCTGGTTACTTCTGGAAGTTGATCAGGCACACGATTTGCACACTCTTATCCATCAGCCTTTGAGGAAAGAAGGAATCCAGTCCTTTCCATAGTACATGATCCTTTTTCATCCTATTTCTAACACCATAAAATACCATTTAACTCAGCAGAACTTCGAAAACAGAGTTGGTCTCTCCTTTCTCATCAGGCTTATCACTTTAATTTAGAAGTGCCCAAGATTTACCAGCTATTTATGGAAAATAAAATACCAACTGAACGTTTGAGATGTAGTCTGCTTCTTCCTAGTGTTATGGCTTTTCAAATGCACTCAGAATTTGGGGCATTTGACCTGTGATTATATCCCATGACTAGATACAGTCACTTGATTACAACTTCTTAAAACCCACATAATTGAGACAGACTTCCGAGTCTGATAATCTTACAGTATGAGTAGTGACTATTCAAGGAAGAAAGGGAAAGAAAGAAGGAATAAAATATTTGATTAAAAAAAAAAATCATCACTGGTATTGGGATTCTCCCGAATTGTCTAGAGTAAGGTTGAGATTTACTTTTGGATTAGTCTTCTTTGCAAATCTGGAGTTGACAGTTAGGGATTGAAATGAATAAACAAGAAAAATATGCTTTTCGGCAACAGCAAAAAAGCTGAGCAGCATGGGTACAGTGAAGTCCATGAAATAATTTTCTCAGTATGAGTGTTTTAACATTGCTGCTCTGCAGGAGGGAAAGCTTAGTTTGGCCGTAATTCTAGAGGAAGGAAATGACATCACAGGATGCCATATACAGGATGATCCCCACTCTTTAATATGAATGATATATTTTAACAGCCTAATTTTCTTTCAGCACCTTTCCTGTGTCATCCTAATCTTTGGATACGGTACGGTGCAGTCGGATTTATCACTGTGGTAGCACAGTATTTGAATATTGCTGATGTCTACTGCAAACTAATGCCATACCTCCATCCTTTTATCACACAACCAATAATACAGGTAATATAATATCAAATTATATTAATGTGAATATATCTGGACTAGTCATAATTCCTAAGTCTGTCTTGGCATGGTCCTGGCTATGAGAATATTAGAATTTTTTTTTTTTCAGTTAAGGTTAGAGGCGATACAGTTTTTTTGAATTCTGCTGGCAGACATTGACAGAATGGTCATTGCCTTCCATGTTTGAAAGAATGTTGTCTCAAATTTGTTGCAAATTGCAGACCGTTTTACAAAGCTTAAAATCAACAGGTATGTCTTTGGTTCAAGCCCTTCTCTGCCTTGTTTACAATCAAACTCTTGCAATATTGTGCTAGTTTATAGGACTCTGAAAGGCGTGAGAAGTTGGCTGGGAAACAAGTGTTTCTAGCCTCTGTGCTTTCATCTACAAGACTGACTATTCCAGCCCTGCCCCGCTAACCCATTTGTCTGTGGGCCTGACCCTCTGAAAACATGAGCTTTCTGTTAGGTAGCGATTGCTGTGCTCAGGATTTCAGCAGTGCTACTCCTCTGTTTCCGTGCTTTGCCAGGGGTAAGGGCAGAGTGCTCAGCGTGAATGAGTTAAGTCATTTCATAATAGCACGTGTCTAGGAATGACCTGCATGTTATTGGTAATAGGATTGTGTAGGCACCTTTGCATGTAACTTTAGGACCTGTAGAATGCATCTCTCGGGTGTTTAAATAAGAAACCGCTGCAGTACTTACATTGAAAAGTGCATCACATTTTCTTGTAAACCATGCAGGTGGTAACTTCACTAAAATAATATTTTTCCATGTTTACATCTCCCTAGACACCTTGTGCTGGGTTTTAGGCATTGATAAATGTCTGTCTTGTTCACTTGCAGCTTCATTTTAGTATATAAATCTTTTCTTTGCTATGCAACACTAAATATAACAAGCAAGTAGGGGGTAACATTGAGTTGGACTGTAATAAAGAAGTCCTCACTCTGAACTCATTTTGAATTTATTTTTCATGTAGACAGCCAGCGTGTCATAGGAATGAGGTCTTCTAAAACTGTTGTGAAGGAAGAATTGGCAGTCCCAAATCTACTGTCTCCCGTTAATTATTTGGAGTATTCTAACTTTTATACAAGCATCTATGTCGTAATTTTGGGCTGAATTACGTTTGGCTGTTTAACTGTGGGACTGTAACCAGGGGCCTATTTCATGAATATGGCTTGCCCTCCCCCCCACCATGTCAAGACCTACTCTTGAGACAGCAAAGATCAAGTACTAAATAAAAGTACAAACTCAAAGGAATGTTGGGGCTGCAAGTAATCTGAATTGCGTACAAGCTTTTTGTCCAAACCTGTTCTCTGGACACAAGCAGATGTTGAATCGCCACCTAGAATAATAGAAACTTGTTTGGTTTTTTCTATTTTAATAGTAATGAACAATCTTTATAAGGACTGCCCCAGTTAATGATTCTAAATTATACCTTAATTCATCAGTTTCTTATGACGGTTTACTAATGTCCCAATATGCTTTTGAATATTACTTAATTACATGCTTGTGCATTCTTATTCCCTTGTATACATCAGAGAAAACTCGGTAATCTGACTGACACGGGGGAAGAGCTCTTCTAGTCGGTATTTTTACAGGATAAATGTAGGACAAGGACAGGCAAAGTTTGAAATATCATTGTAATAGTAGTAGTATCTTTAATCCCATCTAGCAATGCCAAGTTAATGTTCTGAGACTGCTGGGAGAACAGGGAAAAAGAACAGAGAAAATCTGGTATGACCAA